CTGCTCCGATTAATACCAGACGAATGCCGGACCAATAGCCTAACAAACATGACAAGGACCGGACGTGATCTTTCCTTCCTCTTCCCTGTCATATCATCACCTTACGAATCACCCTTACATGTATGCCTCACACATGCAGGAGATAACAGTTTGTTCCGGCTGGGGCGGTGCCTCGCTTGTGGGAGGTGCCTTATTAGGGAAAAAAATCTCCGCAAGCTGACGTGTAGGTCGACGCCGGATATCGCCACCAATGGGGGAAGATCACGGCCATCTCCCTCGATACAACATGTAATACACTATCGGACCAATGGTCCTGTTAGTTGACGCGCCCTGAATCAATCAAATAATCAATCCAGCTATCTCAAGGATGCTGCCTTGCTGGACAAATTAGGAATCCGGCTTCAGATACAATTGTACGATGTAATTGTAAAAGATCGCGTGCCGTAATTCTTCTGGCGCGAAACTGACGCTGTGCTTTTTTTCGCCCTGCAAGACATCGGTCGGGATCAAACTCGCCCTCGGGGAGTGGAGCAGAGAAAACAGAACTGAGTTTTTATGAAACCTTTCGCGAAACCCTACTACGACTCGCTATCGTCTTAACGGGATGGGAAGAGGCGTGTTATTATTTATTACTGCACTATTATACTTGTACATGTGAAATTAGTTCGCTTAAAATTTCCTACGGGCAAAAGAATAAATAACTAAACGCACAACATTACCCGGGATTATTTTGAACTTCCAGATGAGCTCAGTGAGTGCAACATTGATTCTGTTTAAACCCCCCCCCCCCAAAAAAAAAGACGTACTTCAAGTAAACTACCGTCAAAATTTAAAGAATTTTGATTTCAAATTTGCTGAGATTCAAACCACTTCATATTGACCGGGAATTTTCCATTTTTGAAAGAAGTTTCTGGAAAACACACTCTTTCTTTGTGTATATGATCTCAAAATTGCGCATTTTTAGAAACGCTCAAATGTTTTTTTAATATTGCAATGAAAATTTGCATTTAAAAACGCTCTTCACTCTATGATTTTCTTGAAGTCGAATCAAAATCAACTAGAGAAAATTGGAGAAAATGTAAAAAAAAATACATTTTAGGCGCTACTAGGAAGGGGGTGGACAAAAACCAAAAAATTACACAGTTTAAACAGATTAGAAAACTATCTAGTACAAGAAAGTCTGTGCTAATCACTAATTGACATTTGTCTCAATTTCGCCCAAAAAACTCCAGACACATATTTTGAAAAAAAACGTTATTGACATAATTTAAAAGTATAATTTTCAATAACATTTTGTTAAGAGAAAATATATTTTCAGTACAGTAGTTGTAAGATAGGTTAACAAACCTTTACACTTTTGCGATTTCCTAAAATTCAGAGGTTACAAAATACGGACCATATGAAAGAGATGACTAAATATTGAGTCATATTTGAATTCTTGAGATATTTAGACCACTTTCGTAGATTGCTTCTCCTCAGACTTCTCGTTGAGATACTACATTTAACTATTAACATCTTGTATGGTATCAGTTCCATTCAAGATAATCATTTTCTCGATGATGTTATTGGATAGCTATCACGAAATGTATTTTGGTCCTTTGGTATGTTTCGAATGGATACGTTTCGTGGTGATTCTAACTAGTGAGACACGTGCTTGCTAAATTTACACGTTTCTGAATAAATGCGTTGCGTCACAAACTATCAGGTTAACCACAAAAAAATGGGAGATTCTGATTGCATAGAATTGTGGAGGGGGGAGCGACCCCCCCAAAAGACATTTAAAAAATATATTAGGTCGCTTTATAAACAACTAAGGTCAATAGCGACCACCTAATTTACATATCAATAACAGTTATTGTACCTTATAAAACATAGAATTATTAAATAGAAAGTTACACACCAGATATACATTTTATACATAACAAACAGAAGTATTAAGTACAATAAATTTTGATCATTTTATCAAGACCAGCAATATTAAGAAAGTTTAACAAGACACTTCGTTTTATGCGAATATTACGTCAATTGATGGATCAAGAAACTCAAGGAAGTGCATAACCTGCACTGCTATTTTTACGCATCAAAAGCCGTTACACAATTTCCTCTGCAAGAGCGTTGCTCATTTCTTCGGCCGTTTTGCGTCAACACCGACAGCCTTGAATCTTTATCTCGGCAGCCATTCAAATGCCGGCGTCATGAATGACTGCCCGTATCACGCTTCTCACAGACTCTTCCGTTAAAAACGCGTAGGCTCAAAACCGGAAGCTTGAGAAGCTGTGCGGATCGTTCGTGTTTGTGGTGCTGATTTATCAAGACGAATGATACACGATGTGAGAATTTTATCATGTAAGTATTGCAACGAATTTAATTTCGTTGAATGTTTTCGTTGAATGGAGGAAACTGTTGCTTCGCCTACATTTCGTAAGAAAATTTTGAAAAAGAAAATTAAAATCTTATTGCTACCCCGAAAAAGTTTTAAACTCTTTGTCCGTATTTCCATCCATTTGAACAACATTAGTACATTAACTATTCTTAGTACGTTTTCCAAAATTAATATTTCCCTATCGATCTAGTCCGACTCTTGAGCGCTGACTTTTTCATTAAAATTTCCATAAGGAATTGAGTGAAATTCCTTCATAAAAATTACATCCGATTTTCACTATTAATTCTGAATTTTCGAAAATTGCCCAAGTTTTAAATATTTTGCCCTCCCCCCTGTACATCTACATTATTGTAGATAGACTGTTTTCTTCAAACAAAATTTTCAAGCTGTACAATTGTTTAAAATGAATTTACGAATTTATGAAATATAAATGAAGACGTTTCTCGCAAACTTGAGATTATTCTGTAAAACGTAACTGAAAGCGAATTTTCAGAAACGCTCAAAGGACTTTGAAAAATTGGGAATCCTTTTTTAAGGAAAATTTGCATTCAATACCAGTTTTTTCTGTAATATTTTAAAGACTTATTTTAATTCTACTACAAGGGGTCCCCAAAGTGAGAAAATCTGAAAAAAGTATATATATTTTAGACGCCGATGGGAAGCAACTGAAAGAGAGTGGGACCATTCCGGAAAAACAATTTAAGAGATAACCTAGTACGAGCAAGTCTGTGCCATTTTGTATCACCACTATTTCACTTGCAAAAGCAGAGTAGCAAAGGCGTAGGGTGCTCGAGAGCAAAACACAGCACGACGACACGGTTCCTTGCATGTCGCCCACTGCCTCGCCCACTCAGCCTCACAGAGGCGCACGCGGAATGAATGGAGCGCGCCCGAGCCGCTTGTCATGGAAAACGCTCTTGACGAAGGCACCTGAATAGAAAAGCAAGAGGTGCGAATGCGCGGCGAGTAATCTATGCCAGTCACACTACTAGTACAAGACTTTGCCTTTCAGGGGAGGGCAAAACCGGGGTTAACTATATATATATATATATAT